AAAGAGATAAGGTAAAGTTGAACCTTAAATGAAGAAATAAGAATCGCAAAATCTGGACCAAACCTCGATTAGAACGCTCACAAAGCTTTGGTGTGGATGTGTGTTGTGTTTATATAAAAGTAATAAAAAAACAAAGAGATGAAAAATGTTTGTGGGTATACCGATTGGTTTTTTTCTTCTTTCTGACGTGTGTGTTTGTTTTTTTTTTTGTTTTTTTTGGTTGTGCCTCTGTACGTTTTCTGTCTCCCTTTCTTTTGTTTGTGGGAAGTCTGCTAATATATATAGGGTGTGTGGTACGTATAGGGAGTATGTAGTCCGTGTGTATGGATGAAGTGGTGTAGTATATATGTTTTTAGTTGAGGGAGTTGAGTGGAGTATATATTATGGGATCATGGGGATAATGTAGGTAAGGGTGGGGTAATTGGTAGAGAAAGTGGGGTGAGGGTAGTGGTAGGTTATTTCTTTTATTTTAATTAAATATAATAAATATTATAATAATAAAAATATTAGCTAATAAAAATACAAGAATAAATGAATAGCTATTCTAAATTATAATTAAGAAATACTAACTTATTATTAAATCTAATTTAAAAGAAAATACATATTTTTTTTGTGTAACTTTCCATTTCTTTTCATTTTTAAACAATTGAAAAATAAAACTTACCTTAAAAAGTGATTCTATTCTTGCTATTTTCAAATCTTTTAAAATAAACTTAATAAAATAAGATAAAAGTCAAAATATTTAGTTTAGATTATAAAAATATTTAAGCTCTAAAAATGGAGTTAAACTTAAGTTCGGTCAAAAATTACGTGTCTACATATAGCTCACTGGTAGAATGGTCAACTGTTAACTAATTGGTCGTAGGTTCGAATCCTATTTGGGGAGATTTTATTGATTCCTAATTCTTTAATTCAAATCGACAATATAGTGGTTTTACCAGTAAAGAGTCATATATGTTTTATTGTAATATTTATTGATGTACCTCATAGTTGAGTTATACCTTCCTTAGGTGTCAAATGTGATGTTGTACCGGGTCGTTTAAATCAGACCTCTATTTCAGTATGACGAGAAATAGTACTTTACTATGGTTAGTGCAGTGAGATTTGTAGAACTAATCATGCCTTTATTTCTATCATCGTAGAAGCTGTTCCTAGGAAAGATTATGGATCTCGGATTTCCAATCAATTAATCCCACAAACCGGGGAAGCTTAACGGTACTCTAAGACGAACGTGGTCCGATCTGGAAAAGCTGGCTCAACGGCTGCTCTAGCTCTTAGATTTTGGTCTTATTGCTAGCTCTTTTCCTTTTCTACTTGGCACTGAAGAAGAAAAATCAGATGCGTCTTATCCACTATTTTCTTGTTAATTTCACTATTTACTACTTACTGTCTTGATTGTAGTTTTGGACTCTTAAACTAATTCGGAGTCTGAGTTATACGACGTTGTATCCTTGAGGGGACAAGTTAAGAGATATACTGCTAAATTGGTGTAAATTATACAACAACAGATTTGAATCTCCATAATGAGAACAAAATGTACGTATTTCAACCTGAATGTTTATTTATTCATTTCTGTTCATTTTAATCTCAATTGTAACTTACTGTAATCTATGATATATATATCAACACTTCTTTTTCTTGCGAAAGCGGATTGTCTACGATAAGAATGACTTGAATTTACTACTCGTTGGAAGTCCTCATGTAATTGATGGATTCCTATGTTTCCACAATAAAAAAAATCCTCTCTAGGAAGATGATTAATCCTAGCCATCGATTGATATGAAAATATCCTATTTTTTTTATATCCGTAATAATGTATTGATATACCAAGAATTAGAGTTAAGGAGGAGGACAAACTAGTTGTCTAACCATCCAATCAAACAAATATATACATGCTATATGAACAATCATGTGTCAATTATATAGTTATTAGTTATTTTATGTTATTTGGATTTCCAACTTATCATACAATGTCAATTTTTCTATGTAAATTCAAAATTATGATTCAAAATTAAAGAATTGTTTCTTCTCAAAAGGCAGTTCGACCTCTTCTTGAGATAAAGGCCTTTTAATCCTTCTAAGAAATTAATATTATTCTTATTCTTTCTTTTTTCCCCAATTAATCAACACAAACTGGAAAAAAACAAAATGAGAGAAAAAAATAAAATAAGAAGGCTAATTTACGTGCATTGCACATATCCAATTTGAAGTACAAAATACAATGCATCCATTTTTCAAGAAAAAATATATTTCTAAATGTTCCACTTTTTATATCACAAACAAATAAAAGAATAGAAAAAATAAATTAAAGATAATGAATAAAGTATAACACCTCCACATATTACACAAAATTGATTGGTTTCCATTAATAGGAGCAACCCATGATTGTCAAGTCATTGGAGTCAATCATAAACAATTTTTTTATTTATAGAGTCCACATTTTGTGACACTTGTTATCATCATTAACATTTTATACTGCCATACGGCTTCATCTAGAACTAATAAATATACCTTTTGTTTTCATTATTATATGGGCTGATGATTGATCATGTTATCATGGAGTCATTCTTGTCTTGTTCCAAGCCAATTGAAGCTCGATAGTGGATGGTTGATCGTCACTTTGATTTTTTGATCAGGGAGTCTTGTGAACATATGACTTTTGTGATTTAATCGGACAGTTGAATCATCAAATCAAAATTAAAGAAGAAAAAAATTTATGATTAGCTTTATGGAATTTTTTTTTGAAAATTTAGTAACAAAGTTTTTAAAAAATTGCTTCATACTCGAACCTTACTTGATAAATTGATACAATAATTAGTTTTTTTTTTCTTTGGTTTCCCCCGTGTCCGGTACCCATATTGGAATCCGACTAAATTCGGATTCACGAATTTCACAAAGGGTGTCCAGAAATAGCACAACAAAAACTCTTTTAAAAAAATAAAACTAGTGAGATTCGAACACACAAACACTTCTTCATTTCAAGGAGGTGAAACCACTTGGCTATAACAACTTGTTATGTTAAGGGTGTCCAAAATATGTTATTTAATCATTTTGTGTATCATTTTACTTGTATATGCGGTATTTTTTTTTGACAAAGGGTGTCCAATTACCACCATGTGGCTACGCCAGTGACGCAAACATGAGACCACTTAGTTAATTGAAAAATTAAAAATAAAGGAAGCTTCTACAGTCACTTAATTCTTGAATCTGTAAAATTGCTTAATCAAAAATCTGTTTATTTGCTTGTTGTTATTTTTTTTTTTTAATAATTGAGTCAATAATTAAATTGTTATATGATGATGAATAATATACTCTTAGATTAATCAAGAGTCGATGAATCTATAATAATTTATTATTTAATTTTGTCCAATCGTAATTTAATTTAAAATAAAGGTTGGGATAGTCGACATTTCTAAATACAAAAAGGAAATTAATATTTCTCCATACGTAAACGGAAAATATATATTTACAATTAAAGTACAAAATTAGTGAACATAATCATGATTTAGATTGTTTATTAACTCTAGATACTTTTACACTTCCATATATTAGTAGTAATTAATTAACTTAGCATTTGCACATTAGAATTCATCAATGATCTCGAATAATAATCCACATGAGGCCATTGGTTAAATCCACTAACCATTGACCTATTATTATTAGGGTTAATACCTCAGATGGTCACTCAACTATCCAATCTTTCCTCAGAAAGTCACTCACATGGTGACATTTTAGTGAAAATTAAAAGTTGAGCGACTTTCTGAGGCAAAAGTGAATAGTTGAGTGACCATCTGAGGTATTAACCCTTCTTATTATTATCGTTAGAGCAAGCAATTGCTTGCTTTAACAATTTTAGTTGTTTCTTAAGAAACTTAACATAATGGACAGCCTCATCTAACATAGAAGCTGTGTCCATTTTGGTTCCTCCAGGAACAAGTCTTTGAAGAATCCTTATCTTTTGACTTATTTTTTCTCTCCGATGTCTGGCTGCAACGCTCTGTGGATCCTTTGATATCTTCACGTTCTTTCTCTTAGGTGGTTTCACTGATTCCGGATCAATTTTGTTGGGCTGCATCATCGCTATATGAAAAATCATCTCCCTCATCATCTCCAAGGAACTCCGTTCGTGAATCGATGGCACGGGCAGAAGGGCGGGTTCATGATCAATTGATGATGAGTTGTGGATTGGTAGCAATTGAATCATTTCAATGTTGTTGATGGATTGTGTAATCTCATTTAAATCCATGTTTTCTTTTTTGAGAAGTATGGTGAGAAAAGTTGGGAATGATCAATTGAAACAATATTAGTTAGAAAGAGGAAATCCTCCTATGAGTTAGCATATAATGGGGATGTTAGTGAAAATATATGTATATTTATAGATGACAAGTTGTGGCCTACTTCCTATGTTTTATATTTGTTATCTCCACTAAATTCCAAAAGATATGCGAAATAATAAACATCAATCTAGAACCTTATGTTGTCAACATATTGAGTACACAAGTAGTAATTTTTTAATTTGATGATACTTGCTAGAATAAAACTTGAAGTATCTTAAGATTAAATTTATTGAATGAGGGATGGAATTAGGGGTGTATATCGGTCGGTTCGGTTTGCTTTTATGTGTTATTGGTTCTATTTATCGATTTTCAGTTAGAGATATTTTAGGGCTTCATTCTGTAGTCTTTACAAATAGGAACTCGATTTTAGTAATCTTTGTAAAATAGGAAGATTTTAATTCTTTCCATATATTGTAACTTAGTAGTAGTTATATATTCATGTACATGCCTCCTTTGAGAAATAGTAGAATACAAAAGAAATATTATGTTCAAGATTTGAACTTGGTATCAGTGCCATGGGCAAATCAGATGCTTACAACTCTACCCCGATTATCATTCAATCTGAAAATTCTTCTTTCAATGCAGGGATTATTCTAAATGAAACAAATTATGATATGTGGTCTCAAATCATAGAGATGCATATTGCTGAAAAAGAGAAACTCTCGTTTGTTCGTGGGAGTACATAGCCACCTACTAAAAAAGATGAAGGATATGAGAAGTGGTACACAGACAATCAAAAGGTTAAGAGGTGGTTGTTGATGTCTATGTCTCCTGAGGTTATGAAGTGATATATTCTCTTACCTACTGCTCAAGAAATCTGGAAAGCTTTGTCAACAACCTTCTATGATGGAGCAGATGAACTACAAGTCTTCACTTTGAATCAAAAAGCCTTTTCTGCCAAACAAAATGACAGATCTCTCTCTTCCTACCAAGGAGAACTGATTGAAATTTTTTGTGAGTTGGATCGCCGTGATAAGGTGATCATGGAAAATGAGAAGGATGTCAGTTCTTACCGCAAGTCTATCCAACGACAAAGGGTGCACATCTTTCTTGCTAGTTTGGATGGTGAGTTTGAACAGATTCGTGGGGAAATCTTGAGGAAGGATCCTGTTCTAGAATTAGAAGAATGTTACTCAATGGTTTGTTGTGAATCTTTTCGGCATGCAACAGTGAATGGAGATCTTGAAAAATCTAAAACAGCAGCCATGGTGAGAAAATATAGATCTAATCAAAATCGGTTCTCTCAAAATCAACTAGATCAAATGAGGTCTAAGGTTATCAACAAGTCCACTTATAAGTGTACTCATTGTGATCAGCCGGGGCACACAAAAGATCGTTGTTTTGAAATTGTGGGATCATAACCGTGATTCAAGAAGGAGAAATGCTAGCAAGAGTTCCACTACTGCAATTGTAGAAACAAATACCAAGGATGATGTTGTTGGACAATCCACAACCTTGGTAGTAACGAGAGGTAACAATGGTAAGGCTTTAAATTTCTCTGCACTTGTTTCTAATAGTACATGGATAATTGATTCCGGAGCTACAAATCACATGACAGTTGATTCTAGACAAGTTTCATCCCTTAAACCCTCGTCAAAAAATTATATTTCCACCGCTAATGGTTCTTCGGCACCTATCATTGGGGAAGGATCCTTGTCTCTCATTAATAATTTGAATTTAGATAGTGTCTTAGTAGTTCCATCATTGGATTGTAACATTTTGTCTGTTTCTCAAATTACCACTACTCTATCTTGTGTTGTGATGTTTTAGCATGACTATTGTGTGTTTAAGAACATCCAGACAAGGAAGACGATTGGTTATGGTACTAGATGAGAGAAGTTGTATTACTTGGATTTGGAGTCAAAAAGCTCTAATCAGTTGCGCCAAGCATTATCCGTTGATGTGCTTAGTTGTGAGGACAAAACAAGGAAATATGATATTTGGCTATGGCATCGACGATTGGGACATGCTTCTTTTGGATATCTTAATAAATTGTTTCCTAAGTTATTTACAAAATTTGATGTTTCTGATTTCCATTGTGATGTCTGTGAACTTTCAAAGAGTCACCGTGTGTCTTTTTCACCAAGAATGAATACAAGTTCAATTCCTTTTATGATTATACATCCAGATGTTTGGGGTACATCATAGGTGAATACATTAGGTGGATCACGTTGGTTTGTTACTTTTATAGACGATTGTACTAGAATGACTTGGGTGTGTTTGATGAAGTTCAAAAGTGAAGTGAATTTGTTGTTTCAAAAGTTTCATAAAATGATTTGCACTCAATATAATGCCCAAGTAAGAGTTCTACGTAGTGACAATGGGGGAGAGTATTCCAGCTATGAACTTAAGCGATATTTAGAAGCACATGGAATTGCTTATCAAACTACTTGTCCCAATACGCCCCAACAGAATGGGGTAGCCGAGAGAAAAAATCGTCATTTGTTAGAAGTTGTTCGTGCTCTATTGATTGAAGCTCATCTGGCACAATGTTATTGGGGAGAAGCACTCACTTGTGCAACATATTTAATTAATCGAGTGTCTTCTAGAAGAATTAACTTTAGAACACCATCTCAAGCTCTTGCTGAAGCGGTGATTGCACCGGCAGTCCCAATTTTGACTCCTCGTATTTTTGGTTATGTAGAATTTGTATATCTTCATAAGCTTCAATGCGACAAGCTATTCCCTCGTGCACTGCAGTGTGTTTTTTTGGGATATGCTACTAAAAAAAAAGGGTACAAATATTTTTATCCTCCAACTCAACGAATGTTTGTTACAATGGATGTTGTTTTTTATGAAGTGTCTATGTATTTTTCTAATGAAATAAAAATCCAAGGGGAAGACCTGAAAGATATTTTGTCTCTAAATTATGAAAAATTGATACTTTCTGCACCTAGTAGCCAGGTTGTAGATGAATCAAGTTTATGTGGTGGTGAACATCAAGCAATATGACATAACCAAGATATGGTAGAATCAGATTTGGGTACTGCTGAAAATCAGGAAATTGAAGAAGAAGATTTGGGTGCTATTGGAAATCAAGAAATTGGAGAAGTTAGTCCAATATCACATCAATCGTCGCCAACTCAGGATGTTTCTGATTTTGTACCTGAACCATCAGTCAAACAACTACCACCACGACACAATAGAGGTCTTCCTAAACCCACCTATGAACCAAAAATTTCTGGTAAGACTAGGTACCCATTGAGTCATTTTGTGTCTAATCATCATTTGTCTGAATCAAATAAGTCATTTGTAAATCAATTATCTGTTGTATCTATTCCTAACAATGTGCAAGAAGCCTTAACTGATCCCAGGTGGAAAACAACTATGGATGAATAGATGAAATCCTTGAAAAAAATGATACATGGGAACTTGTCGATTGTCCACCAGGAAAGAAAACAGTTGGATGTTGATGGGTGTATACAATCAAGTACAAAGCAAATGATATGATAGAACGATTCAAAATGAGATTGGTGCCTAAGGGATATACTCAGATCTATGGAATTGACTATACCGAAACATTTGCACCTGTTGCAAAAATCAACACAGTTCGAGTGCTATTATCTTTGGCTGCAAATTTTGATTGGCCACTACATCAATTTGATGTGAAAAATGCTTATCTACATGGTGAGATGTCTGAAGAAGTCTATATGGACTATCCTCCAAGGTACAAGATTCCGAGATCACATGATTATAGAGTATGCAGATTGAATAAATCACTTTATGGACTGAAATAATCACCAAGAGCGTGGTTTGGAAAATTCACCAAATCTATGAAGGCATTTGGCTATACTCAAAGCAACACCGATCACACTTTGTTCTTAAAGAGAGAACATGGTAAAATTACTGCTCTTATTGTATATGTTGATGACATGGTGGTGACTGGAAATGACCCTGAAGAAAGGAAAGCTCTCCAAAGCTACCCGTCTAAAGAATTCGAGATGAAGGACCTTGGTCCATTAAAGTTTTTCCTTGGAATTGAAGTGTCTAGATCATCTAATGGAATTTTCTTATCCCAAAGAAAATATACTTTAGATTTGTTAAAGGAAACTGGCGTGACAGCTTGCCAACCAGCTGATACACCTGTTGAAGAAGGCTTGGAATTAAGTGTTGAACCTAATCAAATTCCAGTTGATAAAGGAAGATATCACCATTTTTCGGGGGTGCGGAATTCACGGAGTTCATGACATTTTTGTTAGTATGGTAGGCGAGGAATTCATGGTATTTTTGGTAGGTGTACCATTTTTGGTAGGTGAGGAATTCTTTCTATGTTTGGCTAAATATTTTATTATAATATTCTTTTGCTAAGTGTCTTAATCTTGATATCTTTTTAATATTATTTATGATATATTCTAGATATAACATATCTTGGGTTCTTGGATACATATATAAATTTTCCTCCATTAATTGTTCTAATAGTTTTATATCTTCCATAGATTCTGTCCAATATTGTAAATATTCGTAGTTTATTTTAATCTGAATTTATTTCTAAATCATACCATTCTATTCTTTCGAGGTCTAAAATCATGTAGGTCTATTTCATACCATTGTTGGTTTAATATATCTTCTAAGTCGTTATCATTAATATTTTTTCCCATATTATTGTTCTTAATTCAATTATTTCTATATCTTTAAGTATATATAAGATTAAAGTTTCATAGTTTTTTATCATTTCATCATGTATGTATGTAGTAATGTTCTTTATCATGCAGGTTTTTATTTTCAATTATTCCTTCCTATCATATTCATAATTGATTAAATTCATATTAGATTATTATGAACTAGATTATCTGTTTATCATGTTCTCCTGTCACTACTAACATAGTACTTTAGCGGATACTTCCTTCTTATCAGCGCCTCAACTTTGTTTACTCCCGTAAACGGCTTTCCTCGCCTACCGATTTCAACA